AATTAATGAATACTTAATATGAATACTTCAGTTCCCAATAGTTCTTTCTATAGGGAGCTCTGAATACCTACTCTTTAATTAAGATCACCCTGTATTATATATATAAAAATATCTATTCTATTTCATTTATATACACGCAAACAATAATTATTTACATGATTTATACAATTGAAACATTTTGTAAAACCATTCAATATCAGCTATGATTCTGATTAATCTATCACATCATTATTTCAATTCTGTAAGATATAATCAATATTTGTAACTTTTTAACAAGTCTTATAAAAAGCAGTCCTGTTTTAGGCTGATCAGATGTTCATAGTTTTGCCTGTTTTTAATATTTGATTATAGAATCCTTAAATAATTTGGAGCAATTTTATTAACACATCACTAGAAAGTTTATTTATTTATTGATCTATAAATTGGTGATAAAGTAATTTTAATAAATAACCAACATTCAATCAGTTTTAGACCTCCTTTTCACTGATTCTGAATATGTCCCTGGTTGGATTGTAAATTATAAGGTCTGCCTACCTGTTGTTACTTGACTGATTTTTGAAACTAAATTTAAGATATTCTTATTGTCATCTTTATAAAAATACTCTAATACCATTATAATAAATTTAGCAGCAAAAATATTGAAATGGATAAACTTCAATTATGAGAATTTTATTTCTCACATTATTACTGATTATTCTGTAGATTAAAAAATTCTTTTATCAGTGTATCTAGCAAATTAATGAAAAGTGCAAATGAAAAATTTATCTTATTACTACATATGCTGCTTTATTAAGGCAATAGCATATGTCAAACTATTTATCATATAGAAAATGCATATACTTTGAATCATTTAACATATATTATAATTCTTAAATATATAGCATTTCTGTATGGTTTAATAAATCTGTTGATAATACTAATAAGTATTATTTAACAAATTGATATACTATTTTCTTAAAATAAATATTAGTATAGCATTTAAATTCTTTATTAATAAAAATAATATATATATATTTTGCATAATAATTGGAACAATGGTTAAAATTTTATTACTTTCTTGGTTCAGAATCTGTTTTTCTACAGGAATTAGTAAATCAATTTTTTGGTTATACCATGGAAAATTACAACTGCTGATTAATAGGTTCAAATTGCCAGCATTATTTCTATAATTCTTTGTCATCTTAGATAATTTATAAATTAAAGAGAATAAAAAATAAAATTAAGGTAAGCTATCACAAAAAATGTGCTATATTGTATAATGACACAAATCTTAAATGATTGACAGCTATGGTGCTGACTCTGGGTGCTTCAGAGTTCCAGCACCCACAAAACATTTGTTTCATTATTTTGATGAGTCCTGATGTAGCAGAACGGTATGCATCATATTGTTCTAGCTTAGTGAACATTTACTTTTATGGCAAATTTCCCATATAAGAATGGCTTTACATGCTGTTCCACTTAATGTATTTACTTTTTCTTTTTGATAATTTGTGTATATGAGAAATGATTAGGATTAGCCATTTTGTTAGCTAATACTTTTAAAGCTTTTTGACATACTGTATATTTCTAACTATAAAAAGAACATTTCTATCTTTTCTTGCCCTTGTCTTCTCTAATTTTGCTAAAAATTTTGTCTAAATCTTACTATAATGTTATTAAATGCTACTGCATATATCAAAATCATGTTAATTAAATACAATGGTATCTCGGTACTTGAATGAACAATCACAACCCTCTAGAACAAATATTCAGTTAATAACAAATATTTTTATTTTAATTTCTGTCACCAGCAAAAAGTTTTAAACCTTAGAGCTCCCTTGGAAATTAAGAAAAGGGCAACCTGACAACAAACAGGGAGCATGTGCTCCAATGTACAGATGCCTCTGATTAGATAGCATTAGAATTTTGTATGCATGTAGTATAAATAATTATTTAATAATAATAAAAAAAATGTCAGCTACTGCATATGAATAGAGCACCCTCAAAAGTTACAAAAACTTGGTTGACAGTATATTCTCTCATAATTCTGATTTATGTGAAAATAAAAAAAGAATTCTAAAAACATAAAATATTTCAAAAACAATGTCTTTCATTAAAGTTTGAACAGTAAATTAGAATTCAGTGTCAATAAAATAAGAAACTGTGGCCGTCGGCCATAATATTGTATAAAATATATTAATTTTAGTTAGTTTTAAGTTTCTTTGTTCCTTTATTTCTGACTTTTCTAGAACCTTCCTTTCCAACCTTTTCCCTTGGGTGGGATTAACAATCCCAAGAAATGGGAATGGAACAAAGGGTGAAGTGGGACCCTAAGGCAAAAAAGAACAAAGGAAAGAGCAGTCGAGGTGGAACTCTCGAGGAGGACTGACGAGAGAAGGTAGTGCTCTGGATCGCGTGTGAGACGATCGGAGACTACGAAGCTAAAGGAGAAGTCTGGGCTCGAAGTCCGTAGAATAAGGACGGAGAAGTGGTGCAGCGTCAGATTGAGTGTAAAACAATTAGAAGCTACGAGGAGCCAGCGAATCGATAGGAAGAAACTCTTATAATAGAATTTTAGAGGAAGCCATCGAAAGAATCGTACGAAAAGACATAAAGGAAGGACGAGAGACAACGTTCCACGGAAAGGTCCACGTGGTGT